AGGCTCTCAATTGTCTATCAAATGGCACAACTATACGTTCACCACGGGGCATCTCAAACACACTTGGTTTTGTCATTTGAACTATTTTTGTATTTCCTTGTTCATCTATAAAAGGGTGACATAATTAGCTAAATGATAACAACTAAAAATGAAACTAAAATATACTTAGTCTAAAATAAATTAAAATCATTACCTATAACATTGACAGTCCATACTCTACTAGACTCGCGTCCTACACGTGATTGTTGAGTAGTATCCATAGAAGGAGCCACAGAAGGGGGGATATGTGGCAATGTAGACATAGGTGGTGGAATGTGTGGTTGTGGACTAGGAGCCACAGGAGGGGGGATATGTGGCAATGTAGACATAGGTGGTGGAATGTGTGGTTGTGGACTAGGAGCCACAGGAGGGGGGATAGCCTTATCAGTCATACCACACAAACATTTTGCATATGAAAATGTAGGAAATTTTGCATATGAAAATGCATCTGCCAATAACTCTAAAATCATCGTCATAGCCTTATCAGTCATACCACACAAACATTTTATATGATACAACCTTAATAGAAAAGACAACTTCGAAAATTTTTTGCACCCTTCATATAACTCTTGGTTGCAATCTCTAAGCAAATCATCATACTCTTCACATTCTTCACTACGCATGATTTCTACAAACTCAACTTGTTCATCACACATGTTAGACTCTACATCATGTTGTCTATTCCTCCCAAATGCATCATTTATCATATCTATCATTGGATTTCCATTTTGTAATGACACATTTACTACTTCATTGTCCCTTGATGCTATTGTTTCATATGTCTCCCCATGCCAAATCCAGACTTTATAATTTGTTGGAAATTGCTTGCAAATCAAGTGGTCAAACACATCTTCTCTAGTTTCCCATTTGTCATAGTGACATTTAGGACATGGACAAATTATTGCACCATTGACAGATCGATTCTCAAATGCAAAATCTAAAAATCTATTCAGTCCATCCAAATATTCAATTGTATTCTGTGGCATGTCAATCCATGATTTATCCATTTTTATATCTGTCCAACGAAGTAAGAAAAACATAAGTTGCAAAATATTTTCTATATCCTTGATGTACATAATAAACTAAGGTATAGAAGAGACATTAATACTCCTAAAATTCAGGAGTTTCCTGCTATGTTGTACTCTCAAATCCACAAAGCAGAACCTTACATAACTCGAGAATCTCTGTCAGTCCTATTAAGTAAGCACACTTCAACTATAATTATGTTATGTTTTTATCAAACAAAAAATACTATGCATATAAAAAATTTAGATTAAAAAAAAGTATTTATGAAATTTTGCTGATATATAAAGAATATAGAATATTGACAATAATGAAAAAGGCATATGCAGGAGTCTAAAATACAATTCACAGTGACATACACTAGAAAATTACATAAATTAAAAATCAGTAATAATATAATGCAGTTAAATTAGAAATTAACAAGAACAGAAACAGAAGACTAATTAAATGCAACATCAAATTAAAGTTTATTTTTCTCCTTTTACTCAATATGCAATTAGAATTCAACATATATTGTTATTGATGCCAAATTCATAGGCATAACTTCAGCCTTTGACACTTTTGGTTGTTGAAGAAAAGTGTAAAATACTTACCTGGACAAGACTGTTCAGTCAATTCTTCTTTTAGTATTTGATTTTGGAAAATTCCATTGATTATGCCTGCAACATTAAATAAACAAATATTTTTCCATGATTAGATTAAAACAAAGACGCTAAATCCATCTAAAAACTCTGCATACATATTTTGGTCATAGCTCATGAAAATCATTATAAAATTGCACTGCAAAAACAGAGTCCATTGAAGTTCATATACTATATGTTTTGGATTGTCTAAAAGGCCGAATATATTTCTTTCATTGTTCTTAGTTGTAATTTTTTTTATTCATACTCACTTACTAAAAGAATATTTAAAGTAATTTTAAGAAATTTTAATGCTTTATGCCTTTCCACGTAAACATATGCACTCCAATTATTATTCTAATGCAGCATTGAACCTTATACCTCACGTTTTCACACCAGACTTTTGTAATTTCCTTGGGACTGGAACTGCGTTATATACATAAATCATATTGCCTAATGCAACAAATTATGGTCAAATATAGCAGCTATAATGAACACAACATAAAACAATTTCTGCATATTTTTTCTTCACCTTTCTTGTATATTTTTCATAGTTAACTAACAGTTTCTGATAAGCATTCAACTTACCTATAGTTAAGTAGTTTCTAGCATATCTAACCCAAAAAATCTAGAGTCACTGATAAGTAGTAGACAAAAGCTTACTAGATCCACCTTTAGACGTAACCATTCTACCTTTGATTAGTTCCAAAGTGGCTTTAAACAAGTCAGAAAAATTTGTAAGTTTTATATTTAGCAGTGAATGGAGGCTTTATAAAAATCACTCATTTAAAAAGTAGAATGCCCTAGTGTGTACACTCTCACTTGAAGTTACAATCCATTTAAACTCATGTAAGTAGTAGAATTGGAGAGCTATGGTGATAAATATGATGAAAAGTGAAGAAAGTGATGAAGAGGAGTACAACTATATAAATGACAAGAACTTTACCTGCATCAAAGGGGTGAAAACATGAATGTGTGGGCCATTAATTATAAATTGATACAAAAGGTCTAAAGAGTTTTGTATAAATCTAGAAAGAGCATTGTATAAATAATCTAACAGATCACCTTCTCCTTCACTTCACTTCACTTCAGTCACATTTCCTCTGTGTTTGTTTCCCATTCTCAAAGACACTTCACAAACACGTTTCCAATAATTTTATCATCTTCCATTATTTTATCCAGTCAAATCTCTCAGCAATGTCATTCAGCAATTCTGCTATTTGCTCATATTTCATAGGACGCAAGCTTCCAAAACTCAAAACCAAACTTCTTATGTTCAGTACCTATTCTAAAAGACCACGTGAAAAAATTAACCACCTACAGACATACAAGCTAGTTATCAACACAAGACAACTTAAATTTTAAACCTCCAAGAAAACTAGTGAGGTGCTATATAAACTTAACTAAAAATACAAACTCAAACAAGGAAAGAAAAATAACGAAAAAAACCTCCTCGTGAAAAACAAACACGAAAATTAGGAAAATGGTTTTCCTCAATCCAAATTTATCTATCACTTTAGAAAAATATTTTCTAGCTACTTTATATATTTTTTCAAAAACCGTGTGACTGACTGTGAGCCTAGCCCATTGAGCAATACTATAGTGTTGCTAACTATTTGAGCATTGCTACAGTGTGGTGATTGTTTCAGCAGTTAAAGCATTTTGATAATTTCTTTCACTAAAAATTGTCTAAACAAAGGTTTTAAATGATAGTTGTGAACTTGTGATCATGGTTGTGGTTGTAGTTTTGTCGTGATCCTTGATATTGCAGACAATATGGTTGTTGGCAGAGGCAATGCAATCGCTGGACCGCAAAAACCTAGACATTACAACTGCAATTACTGTCACTGACAGCTTAAACCTTAGTCTAAATGAAACATATACTCTCACCATGAGTCAAAAAAGCAGTAAGGCCAGCAATAGTCATATTATTGTAAACTAGATATAGTATCTATCTAGCCAGTGAGTTGAGGAAACTAGATGCAGGACAAAAAACCGAGACTTATTACATTCAAAACATAAACCAATTCCAAACAATTGTATCAGTTAATCCATAACTATCTTAATTCTTCTACAACAGCTTCAAAGTGATAAAAACAACCTAGCATCTTGGCCCAGTTGTTGTTAAGTGGATGTCCTGGGACAAAGGTGTTAAAAAAAATGCACTCTTAGGATCCCAAGTTGGAAGATTAAAAAACAAAACCTGATAAAAACAAATTGAAATGCAAATTGATTTTAGAATGAGAGAGAAAGTATGTCTTTAGCAACCAAATCACTTTTCAATTTCTTTCATGCATTCCTTCAAACACCTGAAAGACAATCGAAAATCAAAACTTAGTCATTCCAAAATAGTTAATTCCAAAATAGTCAAACACCTGAATGATATGATGGGGTTTACAAGTTATAATTCGTTCAAACTTTCGTTACATCCTCTTATGTATAAAAAATGTCTACTAATACAAATAATCATATATAATATGTTAAAAATGTGAAAAAATTAAATAATCATGATGAAGAAGGAAATTTAGAATTGTTCTTAGAATAATTTGAAGAATCTAACTTCCCTATTCCAATATATCATAACTATAATGTAATTATTTATTTCTTCTCACCTTCGAGCTTTATGTCCACAATCTTTGTCCAATTATTTTTCCACAATTGTTGTATTGTCTACTAAAATAATAATATAGACGGTATATTTTTCATTTATTTTTATATATTTTGTATGATTTATTTATGCGTAGAAACAGAACTAATAAATATATTTGATTTTAATAAAATAGTTGCGAGATTTCCTTACCTCTCTCGTTTTAATCTTAATAAATGTACATTTAGTTCGCATAGCAAATAAAGCACACACACTGACTGTATTCAAAGATCTTTGACAGCACCAAGCACATACACGAGGAAGAATACATGTTGATCAGTGAAGGGATTTAGATTTCCGACCCTCCTTGAAATGTATCTCTGGATCAATCTTGAAGATTATGTTACGTGCACATACATAATAATTATTAATGTGTTTGAATAAAACTACTGATTTTCGTAATACAATAGTAGTTGACAAAATTTCCATTATTTTGTTCATCTCAGTACTTATTAGTCATCCAAACAAGATCCTTGACGACAAAATCAACGCAATAATATGAAAATATCCAATGCAGCACAGAACATGACAAATTTGTAATGAGTTTATTTATTTGATTGCAACACAGTGCTTATTATTAGATGCCCCCAATAACTATGACTGGTTAGGCAGAAATAGGTGGGTGGTAGTAGGTTAAAGAGGAAATGAACAATTAATGCATATGTATGTATCTATGGTAAGAAAGATCTTGCTATGCGACCATTTGCTCCATTAGGGAAGAAGGAACCTGGGAAATGTTCATTACCCGTTCCATATATTATCCTAAGTATTCCCCTTTGCGTTCTTTCAAATGCTAGCGAATCTTTGTCACCAGCAATAACATTACCTGTTGTTTTTCCCTCAGCACCCTCAGATTGAGGAACTACAATACCCTCACTTTTGATTCCTTCTTTACCTAACCTATTTGCAAAGTCCGAAATGCGATCTGTGAAATCTGATACTTTAACATTATATGGCGGTATCGGTGCGTCTCGACATATAAATATGCTCTGATAACTGCATCCCGATCAGAATCTGCTCCCAGAAGCCCAGCAACAAGCTATGCATGCGTATTAAATTTGGTCATTCATCATTCAACATGTTAATTTGGAATTCCAAACACAAAATATGTATTTATATTTGTAATGTATATATTGAACATTTTTTGTTGTTGTGTGTATATTTTTAATTATCATCCTAAAATTGCTCCTCCACTTAAATATAAAAAGATTGATTTTGTTAACATATGTCACACACACATATTGAGGATATAGTAATAGATTACACTTACACATGTGCTTCCAAAAACAAGTTAACCAAAAATCCTAAGAAGTTCAAAAAAAAATGAGGAGATTTTGAACTCTTACACTCTTGTAGTTAGCATTCTGCAACTGTGGAGTGATTCCAACACAGGCAACTGGGGTAAAATAAGACATGATATCAGCCCCGAGTAAGAAATTGAGGGGATTGGCATAGACGTCGAAAGGTGAGCTTAAATTTTGTCCAAGTGCTGCATCCACAAGTTGACCAAATACCCCCGTGCTTATGTTCAGTAATGGTTCAGGGAATCCTTTAACTGCACCATATATGGCCCTGTAAAATATACATGCATACAACCCTTTAGAACAGTTAATAAACAAAACACGTGCTTTCGCCCCCAGAAGACTCTATAATTGAAGAGACTTGGAAATTATACCTCAAATGCCCAACATTCATTAAAGCGAATTGTGTGAAGATGTCCTGTAATAAGGGGTCTAGGTTGGCCTTTCGGCCTCCAATGGGAGGAGGACCTCCCTTGGTTAATTCTGGAGCAGTGGCATCAAGTCCACGACCATAAGCACCATACAAGAAGTACTCAGCGCTCAAATATTCTATATTCAGTACAAATTCCAGAAGATCTTGGTCAGATATTAGAGTTTGGGTTTGACTTGCACTGAGGTCGGAAGAGGAAGCCCTTAGCATGAAAAGGGAGAGAAGTATGGAGGGTAGAGACACAGCAGTGAAGAAAGTGGCAATTGCCATGTTTTAGAATCTCTTTTTTCTATTGCCAAATCTCCTCTCACGTTGGCTCATATATATAGGAAGGTTTAATTATTTTTCATATTTCAAAAAATGTGATTTCTGATATTTCAATTGTGTTATAATTAAATAAACTTTAAAAAATTAAATAAACTTGATTATGATGTATAAAAATAAATAAGTTTTTTTTTTAAACTATTTTTCATGTTAGAAATAAATGGTATTGGGTTCACTTAACTTTTGGCTACGTTGTATTAAAAAACGGTTTTCTATTTAAAACAATTCTAGCAAAATTTGTAATTGTGAGATTAAAATCATTCATTTTTTTAAAGGGTTTACACTATATTTGAATGCAGAAAAAAAAAGGGTTTACTGTGACTTTATAGTATTATCTACATTTCAACCTTAACATGCCGTTGTGCACAGGGGAATGTCTCAACTAAGATGACATGATTAAGTAACAAATAATTAATTAAAATTTTTTCATTATTCATATTAGTGTATATATTCAAAATGTTGTATTTATATAATTTATTATATATATATATATATATATATATATATTATATAAATTATTATTCTCTATTTGTTATGGATTAACATTAATTTATAAATTAATTATTTGTAATTATCAATTATATTACACATAATCAATTTTATTATTGTTCTTGTGATTATCGATCGAAAAGTAAGATAAATAACATAATTGGTGGAGATATTTGATATTATCCAAAATAATATATATATATATATATATATATATATATATAATAAAAATAAAATATTTTATAATTTTTAAATAGTTATATTTAAATGTTATTTATAAAATATTTGATGTCTTTTTATTATAAAAATTTTTTAGTGTTATTTATTTACTTATTGGCTTAAATGGTCGAAGAATGTTTGTAAGTGATTCCTTCTTCATTTTCAACGCATTTAAGAGCACGTGGAAAGAGTTGTTAAAGAACTTAATGGGACTTCCAAATATAAGTAAAAACAATTCTAATTGTTCGTGATGTTGACTCCATGTATTCAAATATTCACAAATTATGTGTAACATCGTCGTACAGGTCACGTCACCAAAATATTTGTTGGTATATGATTTTATTAATAATTCAATTTTGTAATATTTATTTATGAATTATTTTAATATCATCCTGTTCATCTGTTATTTGGAGAGGATCAGTCCAAGGAGAGGGGTTTGGAAAGTTTTTGGAATAAAATATAAATTTTCTCCTTCACTTTACTTTTTGGTTTTAATTTATTCAATTTGGTAAAATATTTGTCCTAGAAGTCAAACAGCTTTAACTCTTCTAAAGAAAACAAGAATAATACCTGACATTTTATTATGTAAGATAAATTTAAATATTTTTAAATAATGGAGAATTTGCAATTTTTTTTAAACAAGGTGATGTCTTTAGAATCTATGTCACCGAATACTATAATTAAAAAAATATAAAAAATTATTCATTTATTTATTTAATTAGATCTATTTATTATTTTTTACAGAATTTAATCATAAAAAATAAAACCCTTTTACATAAAACATTTATTTTTTTCTCTTCCTATTCATTTTCTTATTTCTATTGCTTCTGATTTATTTTTTACTTTTTTTATCTCTTCTCATGTATTCATTATTTTTTTTCTATTTTCTTTTATTTTTCTCTATTCTTTTACCTTATATATTTTTTAATTTAAAATACTATACTAAAACTTGATAAAAAAAATATTAAAATATTTTTTATCAACATTAAAAATAATAAAATATTTATTTTTTTAAAGTATTTTTTATAATTTTTTAAATTACGACTAATTATAATACTACAACTAGATTAAATTACTAAAAAAAATAAACTTAACTTTTAAATATTTAATTTTTCAATCAAGCAATTAATTAATTTATCATGATCAAATAATTTTTAATTAATTATTTATTATAATCATAAATAAATTATTTACAATTAATGATTTTTTAAAATTATATTTGTATTAAATTTAAATATAGTATTTTTAATTAGAAAGTGAGAGAGAAGAGAAAAAAACAGTAAAAAGAAAGAAAAACAATAATAAATGAAAGAAGAAAATAAAGATTAAGTAAATAAAAAAAATTATGGTACATAAAAACTAAACACGTTTAGTTGAATAATAAATTAGACAATGTATTTCTCTTGTAATATTTTTAAAAGTAATGAAGTAAAGAGAAAATTAAAATTGCATAATTTCTTTATAAATTTATTTATGCGTTTATTTAACAGGTCATCACGATAGCTCATAACCTGGAAAATACATCAAAATTATTAGCTATTACATAATAACCAAACCAAAGATGCATATTTTAAGTGGTCACTACTAAAATTTTGTTTCTGGTCTTTAATTTTTATTTTAAGTAATTAATTATTTTATAAAATTGTTTGTTTTATGATAATGAATATATAAAAAAATAAATAAACTCCATCCAAAAATATGATCATTGAACCTTTTTATCAAAGCCTTCGCAATTGTAAAATAAAAATGTAATCCCAAAAAGTGACTAGAATCAAGTTTTTTTACCAAAATTAATTGTTATTATCCATGAAATTGATGGATAATTAGTATTATACATGATGAAAAAAAGAGAGCATAAAAAATAGTTTAAAGTAGATCAAGGAAGAATAATCGCATTGGGCTAGATTTAAATGGTGTAGCTGTTACCCAACTATTTCATTGGGCCAAGGCCATTACTTGGAGGCCTTAAAGAAAGGGTAGAGCACCATAAAACTCTAATTATGTACAATGCTAAAATTAGTATTAGTTTGTGATGGTTATACTCATAAACATTTAGTCAGAGATAAATATTCTCACTCTTTTTCCTTTTTACAATTCTTTGAAAAAAAAAAGACAAAGACATAAAATGATAAATCTTTGAAGATTTTTTTTTATATAAGTTTGTCTGAATAATTGTTAATTCCTCTCAATATTTGTCTCTATAATTTTTTATTTTCTATATTTTTGTTCCATTTTTTTCTCCTATCAGAAGTGGGGAAAATCTTACTATATAGGTGAAAATCAAATAAAAACATTTAATGAGGTGAAAAAATTATAAAAAAATAAAAGGCGAAAGTCAGAACGCTTATATATAATAGGACGTAAAAAGTTGTGTTATCTTTTTATCGTTAGGAGGATCTCATAAAATTCAACAATGAGAATAATAATCTCTTAACAAAACTTCTGAAATAAATATATATATATATATATATGATATTTATTTAGAATATTTTAATATTCCTAAATATTAATATGATAAAAATGGATTTTGTTATATATATATATATAAAAGATAAGGTATGACAAAAATTAATATATTAAACGTAGTCATATATATACATATAATATCATATACTTTTTCAAAAAATACTCAATACCCTTTAATATAATGATTATGATCTTAACCAAAAAATAGTCAAACCCTTTATTCGATTTTTTCTTCTATTTTCCTTTTTTTTTTTTTTTTTTTTCTTTTCTTTGTGAGGTTTGGAGATCTCTCACTTCCCCAAAAGCAAATTAAACTAAACTCAAACCTAAACTAAAACCAACCTAAATATTTGGAAAGGATAGTGAAGATATAATTTTTCCAACTTGATATTGATCCACAGTTTCACTTTCATAGATGTGCATGTTTCACTTTTTTTTTTGTAAGTATAAAATTTTATAACAAAAAGATAAAAGTTGATAGAAAACTTAACGTTGATGAGATGTTTAAAAAATGAGATGCATAAATTATTGCCATGGGAAAATCAAAGCAAAAATATTCAAATCTCTAATTGATAAACATAGAATATACGATTACAAATACCGTATCATGCCATGATTCTACATGATTAATTTTTTCCATATTTAGCTTGGCATGACAGCGATGCACAGTGATGCACATTAATGTCATATCTGTTAATAGACAAATTTAGGATACCGACTATAATGGTTAGCGTAATTATAGCCTAGAATGTTTACGTATTTCATGTATATATTGTGCTTATCATATTCAATACAAGACAGGGGTTTTTGGAAATATTTTTATCATGGTATCGGAAGCGAACCAAACTCCGATATCCAACGGCCAGAGAACACGGTCGTACTTCTAAAATGGCGAGAGAGAGAGAGGCGGTGAAGAAAACACCATCGCCATACGATCCGAGTGCCGGTGATAATCCTGGAAATGTGATTACACGAGTACAATTACGAGGAGAGAATTACGAGGAATGGGCAAAGGCCGTGAAGATATCTCTGCGGGCTCGAAGGAAATGGGGTTTCATAGATGGAACTCATAAGGAACCTGAAGAAGACACATCCGAGATAGAAGATTGGTGGACAATTCAATCGATGCTTGTATCTTGGATACTAAACACTATAGAACCTAGTTTGCGTTCCACTGTTGCATACATGGAAAACGCAAAGGACCTATGGGATGACATCAAGGAACGATTCTCGATCGTGAACGGACCAAGAATCCAGCGGCTAAAGTCGAGTTGGCGGAATGCAAACAACAAGGAATGACTATGGTTTCCTATTATGGGAAGTTGAAAACGTTGTGGGATGAGCTGGCAAATTACGAGCAAATCCCACGAGTGTAGATGTGGGGGATGCAAGTGTAATATTATGACGCAACTTGAGAAACGAAGAGAAGAAGAAAAAATTCATCGAGTTCTTGATGGGGCTAGATGATGAGGGCTATGGAACTGCACGGTCAAATGTTTTGGCAACGAGATCCATTACCCTCGTTGAATCGGGTGTATGGCACCATGGTGCAAGAAGAAAGGGTGAGAACAATCACCAGGTCTAAAGAAGAGCGAGGAATGATCGTGGGAATGGCTATGCGAGCGGAAACCGGGAACAAGTTGCGCAATGAAGCGAAAGAAAAATCGAGTTGTTTGCATGCGGTGTGGAAGGAAGGGACATGACAAAGGCAA